CCAGTAAGCAGCACTCCTCTGTGGCCTCTGCATCAGCTCCTGCCTCCAGGACTCTGCCCTGTTTCGTGACTTCCTTCAACAATGGACCATGAGTGGAAGTGTAAGCCAAATAAACCCTTTGCTTCCCAACTTGTTTTTGGTCATGTTTCATTACTGCAGTGGAAACCCTAAGATACTCAAGTAGTTGAGATTACTTCTTCCAAGTTCTTCACTTCAAAGTTCCCACTTCTACAGAGAGAGACACACACGCTTTATCTTTATCATATTATGGTCTATCAAACAATGCAATGTAAACAGTCATCAATAAGACAGGTTAAAGACATTTTTGTTCATTCATTACCAGAATGTTATACCACTACTAAAATGACAAAGACATTAAGAATCTACATCTATGCATCTATAATCCCAGTACTCGGGAGACTGAGTCAGGAAGATGCTGAGTTCAAAGTCTGCCTAGACTACAGAGTGAGATCTCGGCTTTAAAAAATGCTTATAGAAATATCTGAAAGGGGCTGGAGAGATGGCTCAGAAGTTAAGAGCACTGGCTGCTCTTCCAGAGGTTCTGAGTCCAATTCCCAGCAACCACATAGTGGTTCATAACCATCTATAAATGGGATCTGGTGCCCTCTTCTGGCCTGCGCACATACATGCAGACAGAGCACTCATGCCTAAAAAAAAAAAAACATAAAAAAAGAAAAAGAGAAAAGAAATATCTAGAAGGTATTTTTATGTCAGATGAGTTATCTCTGTGTATGATTTCAAGTATTCTTCTCCACAATGCTTGGAAAGGCATTGTTTTTATCCTTTAACTGAAAACAGCCAGCCATAGTAGCTGACTCCCCAGTTCTTTGGAAACAGAGGCTGAAGATTCCCAGAGTTCAAGCTCAAGTTTGCGCTATCAGACTGGGAGTGCAGAGTTAAGTACCACCAGCTCAACAAGAGCTAAATAATAAGACTCCATCAGAAAGAAAAGAGGGAGAGGAGGGGAAGGGAGGAGAGGAAAAGGGAGGGAAGTAAAGAACCAGAAGGAAGGAAAAGAAGAAAAATGTCTGAAGGCAAGAGGGGCTGGTGAGGAGAGAGGTATACTATGAAGCATGCAAAGTGGCCAGCAGTGGGTAGATATGGACACTAATGCTCACCTGGGGGGCTGACGAGGAAACTCTGAGCCGGGTGTGTTTGGCCCCTGTGTCTCAGAATGTTGCTGAGAAAAGGATGAGGGAGGCTGCTGCTTCTGCTCTTCTGAAGACCTGAAGCCCACAGAAGTGTGGAAAGCACATGGCATCAGAGGTGATCGGCAGCGGGCCACTGAAACAGAGACCAGACTGTTGGTCAGTGACATTCACCACGAAATATCCTTTCAGACCCAGAGTGGCAATGAGCATGAGGAGGAAATGCACAGTAGAGATGCCTCTGCAGCCACTCATTACAGTGTTGAGTCCCACACTGGTACCTTGTAAAACAAAAACCTTGAGTCATGGAACCAGTTAACAGAAGGCCTGGCTGTCTTCTTGGCCTGTTTCTACCATTGGTCAGCTGTATGGCTCTGTATAAAACATTTCCCTCGATATGCAAATTAAAATAATTGTTTTAATTATTACTGTGTGTGCATGATGTGCACAGATATCCATTCAATGACACATGTTGGGGGCTCAGAGGATACCTCTGTGGAGCTAGTTCTCTTTTCACCCTTACATCTACTCTGGGAATGGAACTGAGGTTGCCAAGCCTCTTTATCCACTGAACCATCTTGCTGGTCCCATAATACACAGTTTTTTAGAACCCCACAGATTAAGAGTGTTAATCTCTATTTGTTCAATGACAAAGCTAAGGTAGCCTCTAAAAGTGAAATGCTACACTTATATACATGTAACAGTGCCTACCTTCCAAGTGTTTACATGGCCTTTCTTTTCCTTCTTTTCCATGTTCGTGTGTATGTGGGTAGATGAGCATGCACAGTATGTGGAGGCCTGAGGTCAATTTTGAGAATCATCCTCAATCTGTTCTTCCACTTTATTCACTGAGGTAGGGTCTCTCAATCAGATCCAGAGCTTACTGATATGACTAGTCTGCTAGTCAGCCTGAACTAGAGATCCCCAGTCTCCACCTTTGGGTTTCTTTTCTTTCATTTGTTTGTTTTGTTTTGTTTCTGAGACACGATCTCACTACGTAGTCCTGGCTTGCCTGGAACTCACTATGTAAACCAGGCTGACCTCAAACTCCCAAAACTCTGCTTTTCTACCTCCTGAGTGCTGGATCAAAGGTGTGTGCCACCACACTCAGTATTTTATGTGGATTCTAAAGACCACAACTCTGGTCCTCACACTCAAGCACTTTAACCCCTAAGCCATCCCCCTAGGCTTTGCAGCCCCATTACTTTAGGGAATATCAGTAGTACCTCCTGTGCAAAACTCAATACTACCCTACCCCCTCATTTTATCATCAGAATTTGCAAACATGTAGATGAGGTGAAGGAACAAAATATACAAATCTTAAAAATACATTCCTGTGAGCGATGCAAACACATACTATTGTATAACGTGGATCCTATGTAGATACACATTACTATCACCCCAGAAAACTCCCTCCCACCCTTTCAGTCCCCATAACTGTTCTGAAACTTATACCTTAGATTAGTTTTATCTACATATTTTAAAATTTTCTTTAGTTTCATACATATTTTTAAATTGTTTGTTTTTTAGGACAGGGCTTCTCTGTGTAGCCCTGGATGTCCAGGAACTCATTCTACAGACAAGGATGGCCTCAAAATTCAGATTTGTTGGGATTAAAGATATATGCTACCACCATTTGGCTAATTTTTAAAGATTTATTTATGTGTACTAGTGTTTTGCCTGCATATGTATATATGACTACATGTCTGTCTAATGACCACAAAGGTGAGAAAAGCGGGTTGGGAACTGAATCCTGGGCATCTGCAAAAACAGCAAGTGCTCTTTACTGATGAGTCATTTTTCCAGACCTGTTTAGCATACTTCCTTCAAAGATTTATGTGTATGAGTCTTTTGCCTGCATGTATATATGTGCAGTATGTGAATGCCTTGTGTCCATGCTGGCCAGAAGAGACTATGGACCCATGGGACTAGTAGGGACAGAACCTCTGAAAGAACAGCCTGTGCTCTTAACAGATGGGCCATCTCTCCAACCCCATGCTTTTCTTTTTTACTACTTTTTTCTTTTGTCCTGTCTCAGCCTGAGCTATATAGGAAGACTCCGTCTCAAACTAATATAAGCTGATGTTTTGATATTGTGTTTGTGTGTGTGTGGGGGGGGGGGGGAATTCTCTGTGTAGCCCTGGCTGTCCTGGAACTCACAGGAGCCTTTGCCTTCTGAGAGTATTGGGATTACAAACCTGTGCCACCACCACCCAGCTTAAAACAGGGTTTAACTAAGAGATTTAATGTAGGCTTAAGCACAAGGGTTAAGAAAAAAAGAGGCACTGAAAATAAAGTAAGACAAGTCCAGGAGCATGGTCCTGAGTTCAATTCCCAGCAATCTATAATGGAATCTGATGCCCTCTTCTGGCCTGCAGGCATACATGCAGACAGAGCACTCTTCTATATAAATAAACAGTATTTTTATTTAAAGGCATGATGGCACTCTTTTAAGCACTCAGGAGGCAGGGATGGGCCAGTCTCTCTGAATTCAAGGTCAGTCATAGCAAGTTCCAGGTCGGCCAGGGGCACAGAGTAAGACCCTGTCTCAAAAGTTTTAGAAAAGGGAGGGATGCTTTGGAGCCTGTTGCAGAGTGCTTGCATAGTATTGCAAAAAAGATGAATGTTTGGCTTTTCAGGGTCCAGCCATTATAAAGTTGCTGTGAATACACTTCAACTTTTTGTGGACATGATTTCTTTCTTCTTTTCTTTTTTTTCAAGACAGGGTTTCTCTGTTTAACAGTCCTGGCTGTCCTGGAACTTACTTTGTAGACCAGGCTGTCCTTGAACTCACAGAGATCCCGCTGCTTTGGCCTCCCAAGAGCTGAGATTAAAGGGCCACCACCTGCAGTGTGATTTCTTGATTAAATACCTAAGACTGGATTTGTTTGGCCCTGGTATTATTTTTACTACACATATCTTGTCTGAAACTTTAGATAAAACTGACAAAAAGGAAGTCATTGAAAACAATAACCTGGAAAGAAACCAGAACACCATGCATAAAAACATCAGCATTTTGGTATATGCACAGAAAATGGAGCAATAACCACAAAATTTGAAGAGAGGGGTCCCCAAAGTATGGCTGTGAAATCTCTGCAGCTCAGAAGGTTTAGTCGCATATTTATGTTAATGTGTCAATTCAATGTAGAAATATTCTATTTAAGGGCAGTGATTTTTGTTTTTCCACTTAATGGCACCACTGTGCAAAGTTTTTTTTTTTAAGTAAATGTCTATATTAATGAAGAAATAAAAATGCTGAGCATATGGCAACAATGACGGTAAGAGAATGTCACCAACTTAGTGACGGGGGTGGCAATGACTTGTCTCTGGGGATAGACCGTTCTTGACACTCTCGAGTGGTTGGTTCCCTCTGTCCCTCCAGCAAGGCTGGCCCAGTGCCCATGGCAACGGATTGAGACCGCTTCTGCAATGGACGAGTTCTGTGACCTTGGGCACACCAAGCCCTCTCTGAAGCTCCATTACCTCTGGGGAACCCAGGTGACAGGGCTGCCCCGCTGCTTGTGCCCCCTCGCAGCTCCAGTCTGGAAATCGAATCCCACTGATTTCCAGCTCGCGACTTCAGCGAGCTCAACGCCGATGTCCTTCATCTGTACCTTGCTATCCCCCACCACGGCCTTTCTCGCCCTGCGCCAAGCCCGGGCCCGCGCCGTTCCTCCTTCCCCCGCTCTCCCCCGCGCCCGGCCTTGGCCGTCACCTCACCGGGCAGGCACCGCAGCTGCAGGAGCCTCCAGCCCACCCGGCCGAGGACGCCAGACACGGCTGCCGTCGCCGCCATCTTGGAGGTGGGCACGCACGCTGACGGCGGCAATGCGGGCAGCGTCATGTCGTCACTGGGGCCGCGTGTACCTTCCAGGACTAGGTGCTGTGCCGCCTCTTCTCGCGAGAGACCGGAGACGCAAAGCCGGTGTCTGCGGAGCGGGTATTCTGGCTAGAAGGAAGGAAGGTGAGCTTGTTCCGGTAGTCTCGAGCACTAGACCCGGCCTAACGGCCCTCCTCGCACCCACTCTCACCCTCCGCCCTCTCCTTTCAGCTCCCGGCGCCGTCACTGGCTTGCCGGGGGAAGCCGGTGTGAGGGACCACGGCGGCCGGGGCCCTGATGCGGCGGCGTTCCTGACGCCGGGGCTCGTCTGCCGCTTCTTCCCGCGTGAAACCCGGAGCTGGCGTCGGGATCGCCAGTTTACCTTGGGTCTCCTTCAGGGCACCCGGCGGAAAGCACGAAAGCTAGGGAGATCCTGGAGTCACAGGTTGTCTGTCCGTTTGAGGCTGGCATTTATTCCCGACTGTCTAGGATGCTTGTTTAGAAAACGAACCCAGGCTTTTGTCCTGAGAGTTGACCCTGTGCCAGAGTGTGGTTCAGGGATCTAGCATTAACGGACCATTTGTAAGTTTGCGAGAGGCTCGCTTTTTAGCGTCTGGCGTGCCTGAGTCCAAGCTGCGATCTTCAGAGTGGAGCGGAGCGCGTCGCTTTTCCGCCAGTGGAGAAGTTAACTGTGTTTTATTGTTACGATCATGGAGGGAGCATCTATGTGTAGGTGCATATTCATGTGTGTGGACGCCAGAGGATAATTTTGTTTTTCATCAGACCCTGTCCACCTCCCCTGTGACAGGGTTTTTGGTGGCCTGGAGCTCACCAGTTTGCCCCCCTCCAGCCCCCCCCCCCCAGTGCAGGATTGCATACCCAGCCACATAAGCTTGTAAAATGTATTATTTTGTAGGGGGATGGGATGTGCAGAGTGGAAGTCGGAGATTCCACTTGGGGTTCTGAGGATTGAACTCAGGTTTTCAGGCCTTTGTAGTGTAGTAGCAAGCACCTTTACCCATTGAGTCATCTTCTTGAGGCTCAAACTCAAGGCCTTGTGCTTGCGAAACATGGGCTTTACACCGGTCCCCAGAACCCTGACAATAATGGTTTTTGAGACAAGAATCGTGATCCTTCTTCAGTATCCCAAGAGAACTAGGTTTATAGGCAACCTCTGCCATTCTTTGCTATTAATTGCTGTTTGTTGTATTGGGAGTTTGAATCCAGGACCTTACACAGGCTAAGCACAACCACCACTAAACTGAACCCCTGTCCCTAATCATTGACACCTGCAACAATGCATTGAGTCATCTCCAGCCCCTCAGCCCCCTTAAATGGGACCAGAAGCCTCAGAATCAGCTTGTTAGGTGTTTAAAGGTAAATAAGCCCAACTCCAGAAGTTGTTCTCAGATGTTTGCTTTTGCTCTTACTGCCTGATAGTAACTGTTTTTTGGAAGTAGAGTCTCACTATGTAGCCTTGGAACTTGATGTATAGACCAGACTGGCCTCCAACTCCTGGAGATCTGCCTGCCTTTGTCTTGAAGTGGTGGTTTTAAAGGCAAATGCCACACAAAGCTGCTAGTGACATTTTTTAAAAGCCTTGGGTGGATGTTAGTTGGAGAAGCATCTAACAAACAAGGTCACTTGTGTGACATTGACTTCCACTTCATCTCTTTGAAGTTGTGAAACAGCCCTGAGTCACAGCTCCTGGGTGTGCTGGCTTAGGCACTGGATTTTTAATAGTTTTGGTTTTGTTATTTTTAAACAGATTTGCCACAGCAACAAAAAAAAAAATCTGATGAAAATTGTTACACTTTGGCTCTTAGAGCTTAAAAGAACATTGTCTATTCAGGAAATGCTGAAGGAAAGCTGTTAGGTTGTGTGTGGTGTGTGTGTAGGTGGAGGTTTACAGTTTAATCTACTCATGACTCAGCCTTGTTATGGGAAGAATAGTTTGTTAACACTCTGATTTACTGACACAGTCCCACTGGTACTGGATGTCAAAGGTGATGCTCTCCTGTGAGGTTCCAAGGCATCTGTAAGGAGGAGAGAGATTTTTACCAAGACTGTTGGAAACAAAGACAAACTGAACATTATTGCATTGAACTCTGTGTACCAGCATCTGCTTGAGCGCTTTATATTACTTACTGTTCCAGGGTTTATTGGTCTTAAAAATATGAGGTTATTTACTGTTCTTGTTTATTGACAAGGAGACTCAGAAAGGCAGACTTGAAGTAGTCCTGAACCTGGTGAAACAAAGTAATAGATCTACAGGCTACTTATATTTAATAACTAACTACCCAGCAGTAAGACTTCCATCCACACTTGTCTTTCCCTGGCAGGCTCTTAAATGTGAGATTGATCCCAAGTTATCCAACTTAAAGATTTACAAGCAGTTTTTCTCAAAATCATGTGACAATTAAAAGCTTAAAAGTTTTCATTCTTGATGGGTACTTTTTAGGGATTTAAAACCCCAAATTTAACAGCCAAAGACTCCTGCTTGCCTGATAATCACGTGGGAGCCTCTTGGCCTTTTTTGCTGAGTCAGGAGGATATCACAGAACTGGTGTTCACATGAAGAAACTAAACAAAAAGATATGGATGAGAGAAGACACAATAAGGAGGAGAGAGTCCTTTTGGAATGGAAGTTAGATTTTGAAGCTAGCCAGCTAAGGACTTCAGTTTTGCTATAGAAATTAAAACTCTTAGTAACTTATTTCTAAAATGACAAAGTGCTGTGTAATCAAGGGTGACTCTGGCTAAAGGTCATCGTTTTTAGACACAAAGGAAAGTTGTTTGAGGTGAACATTTTTCAAGCCAAGCATGACATTGCATACCTGTAACCCTAGTACTTGGGAATTAGAAGAGGCAGGATTAAGAAGTTCAAGGCCATCCCGGGCTATATGAGGCCCTGATTCCTCCCCCAAAAAAGTAACAGAAAAGTGAAATAAGTTACGTTTTATTTATTTGTGTGTAACCATCTGTGCCACAGCCACACAGGTGGAGGTCATAGGACAACCTGTACAAGTAGACTCTATTGCCCCATGTGGGTACATGAAGACTGAACTCAGATTGCCAAGCTTGGCAACAGGTGCCCTTCCCAACCGATGCATCTGCTGACCCCTGAAGTGAATGTTTTTATAGAAGGAAAGTGTGATGCATGTGACTTAAATTCAGCCTGGGAGTGTGGTGGTGTCACCACACAGAGTTGGCCATTTCTGCAGAAGTCAGAAGTGTGAACCTCCAACCACCACCTCTGCTTCACATATTTGAAGCTAGAAACTTGGTAGCATTAATGTTTAAAGAGGGAGGAGCTTAACAGAGGTATCCCTTGGCCTCCTTCACAGTGTCTTGTATACAGTCTGACATATCAAGTGGAAGAGAAAACTAACCCGAGGTGGGAAGTGTTCATAGTTATACAGGTTAAGATTCTAGTCCCAACTTTTGTTTTACCCACATAATATTGGTATGTATATTGTTGACTGACCCGGATCTTTAACTGTACATTGGGAATAACCTAATATTGAGGTATAAGGTGCTTCAAAGATGCTGGCTGATGATAAATGTTGAAAATAGTGTTGGTCACTGCAGATTCAGTGCAACTGAATTTTTATAAGTAATGAAAAATGACTTGCAAATCTTAGAATTTTAAAGCTATAAGTATGGTTAGGATAGCTGCCAATGTATTGCCTTCCTCTGTGAGTCACTTCTGTCTGATGAATGCCCTGTTTGTTTTATAGTCAGCCTAAACTCTCTAGCCTTTTTACTTGATTCTAATCCCTTTTCTTGACTTTGCCATATCTGTCTTGTCTACTTGTCATGTCAGGGAATGTTGGGATTATGAAGCCTTGAGGCTATAGGTTCATTAGTCAGACTCTTAGGGTCTACCTAAGCTGTAATGCATTCTTAGTGGGAGGTTGTTGGAAGTAGGTAATGTTTCTAATCATACCTAATGATAACCCATGGGTTAAATTCCACTGTTGTCTTGGTTTCTTTTGTCAGTAGCTTTTAGGTCCGGCAGTTGCAGAAATGGCAGAGTTTGGGATCTCTCCTGGCCAGCAGGTGGCAGTATTCTGGGACAAGTCATCTCCTGAGGAAGCCCTAAAAAAACTGGTAGATAGTCTTCAAGTGTTAACTGGCAGCGAGGGCCAAGTATTCACAGAAAACATCAGCCAGCTGTTGCAATGTAAGTGCCTACCTACCTTTTTATTCTCAGGGTGAGAAGAGTTTTCCATGGGGTGCTGTTTGTCTGTAGTTCCTGATACTTGAGTTTTGTTTGGGGTCACCCCAGTTTTTCACACACTTGGGCATTTTGCTTGTAATTTCTGTGTGTTCTTTTCTTTGGTGCTGTCCCTTATTTTAAAAGGCTCCTTTTTTACTTTTTTCCCTAGTCTTATTAAGGTCAAGGAGTCAGTGAGATATGGAGCAGAGTCTTAACACCCTTTTGCTAGTATCAGGGGCTTCATATTTGCTTTGTAGGTTCATCCCCTGGGTTGATACTGTATTCTTTGTGCGAGGTCTGTGGGAGGGTTGGGAGATTCATCCCTGGGTAGACAACTGTTGATTATTCCTCTCAGCTGCCCATAAAGAATCCAGCTTCGATGTTATTCTGTCTGGTGTGGTCCCAGGAAGTGCCTTTCTGCACAGTGCTGAGGTTCTGGCTGAGATGGCCAGAATCCTTCGGCCAGGCGGTTGTCTTTTTCTGAAAGAACCCGTGGAGACAGCTGTAGGTAAGTAAGGATATCTTTACTCAGAAGATGACATTTTACATAGCTGAGTCTTTGCATGTGCATGCTGTCTCTCCTGAGCCAAAAGTACCACTCGAGGATCAGTATTCCCTTTTCAGGGATAGATATTACCCCAAGATCTTACTCTAGCTAAGTGGAATTCATATGTAGTCCAGTTCGTCCTTCAACCCTTAGTCCTTCTGTCTGTCTGTCTGCATATGAACATGAGTACAGGAGGCCAGAGGTGTTGGACCCCCTGAAGCTAGAGTTAGGTGGTTGTGAGCCTCACAGTGTGGGTCTGGAAACCAAATTTCCATCCTTTGCAAGAGTAGTATGTACTTGGAACAACTGCAGCTGCCTTTTTTTTTGAACCCCCCCCCTTTTTTGGGGGGGATTTTCTAGACAGGGTTTTTCTGTAGCTTTGGAGCCTGACCTGGAACTCACTCTGTACACCAGGCTAGCCTCAGACTCACAGAGATCCGCTCTCCAGCCCCTTGCTGGAAATTTAAACCTTGAGTCACTGAATGGTGTCTATGACAGCTTTACAGAGACAAATAGGTTTCTATGTACTTCACACAAACAGGTTTCTATGTACTTCACAGTTTATAACTTTATTAATTATCCAGCATTCTCTGGGTTTCCAAAAAGCAGAGTGTTATATAATAATGGAATTATGGCCTCTACTAGGCTAAAAAAAGAATACTTGGAACAACTAAAAGATAGTATTTTTTTTATTTTAACTCAATCACGTCTGAGACCCAAATAAGATTCCCCTGTGTGGCACTCAATGTTAGAGTTAGGAAGGTCTCAATTTCTAAGTGTTTTCCAAATTCTTTTTCCCTGGTTTTTAAAAAATATTTGTTTATCTATTCATGTATTTTGTGTATATAAGTGCTTTGTCTTCATGCACATCAGAAGAATTTGATCCCATTACAGATCCCATTAGAGATGAGCCATCATGTGGGTGCTGGGAATTGAACTCAAGACCTCTGGAAGAGCAGATGAGAGCTCTTAACCACTGAGCCATTTCTCCAGCCCCCCAAAAGATTTTTCAAGTTAAGATGCTGTTACTAAACTATACACTCATTAAACAAAGTAGGTTTTTACTCTTTGAGAGCCTCCTGACTCACATAGGATAGAGTCTTTACAGTTTTCCCCAACTTTGCCATATGAAGCCATTAATTGGGGTCTTCCTTGACAGTTAACAATGACAAAATGAAGACGGCCTCTAAGCTGTGTTCAGCCCTGACTCTTTCTGGTCTTGTGGAAGTAAAAGAGGTAGGTGTGTAGACATAGCCTTCCTTGTTAGGTATGTAAACCTTGGGTGACTCAAACCCAGAGAGTATGTCCATGTAGTTGGGGACAAGTGAGATTAGAGGTGCTCTACAGAATTAGGAGGCAATTTGAAACATGCTGCCTAAGAGATAAATATGAGACACCATAAAGAAGAAACCCTTGGGAACAGATCCCTTTTGAAGACTGAGTGGCTGGTATTGGTCTCCCTGGAATTGTTTGACAGTGATGGCTGTGCTGCAGGAGACAGGAGGTTTCTGCTTCTCTTTCTCAGTGTATACAACTCTCGGGCCTAGATGGAATACTGTCCCTTAGACCTTTTGGTGGGAGTCTAGACTAAGGGTGGGGCTGTGCATTTATGACAGTTGAGTAGAGATGTTCAATTAAGCAGAGGCATTTATAGTTCCATATTCTTCTCTAGAAACTAAATTTTAAAATATTAGCATTTCTGATGGGGGAATGTCCTTCTGTATATGTTTCTCATATTGGTTGATGAATAAAACACTGTTTGGCCAATAGAGGCAGGAAGATAGGTGGGATTAGGAGAGGAGAATAATTCTGGGAAAGATAGAGAAAGACCGAAGAAATGCCATGTATCGGAGGAAGGAGTAATAGGTCCAGACCCTTCTCTCCAGTAAGATACGACCACAAGGAAATACATAGATTTATAGAAATGGGTTAATAGTTAAGACAGAGCTAGCCAATAAGAAGCCCTAGCTATTGGCCAACAGTTTTATAATTAATATAGCATCTCTGTGTTTATTTGGGGCTAAACAGCTGCAGGGCCAGACTGGAAAGAAGAAAACACCAGCAACACATTTCCTGGGTTTTGGAGAGATGTTATTGTTATATTTCTGATTTTTTTTTAATGTGATTCAAGGCCTTAAATTCTTTTTTGAGACAGAGACTCACTGTTGGATGTTGTCCAGGCTGGCCACAAGGCTGGCTTGGTGAAACAGTGAATGGAGAAGTGTGGACTGATGTGTTGGCTGTCTTCACTTGCAGTTGCAGCGGGAATCATTATGCTCTGAGGAGGTGCAGTCTGTCCAGGAACACCTGGGCTACCACAGTGACAGCCTGCTCTCAGTTCATATCACTGGCAAGAAGCCAAACTTTGAAGTGGGCTCTTCCAGCCAGCTTAAGCTTTTTATCAACAAGAAGCCTTCTTCAGGTAAGATTAGCCTGGGGACATTCTATGTGGGTAGGCCTGAGGAGAGTGTTAGAAATTGAACCATGACTAAATATTCTTAAATTAATCCTTTAATTTCTGTCATTTGCAAATTGCAGAATGCTTACATATTAGTATACAAACCTGAAGTAATATGTGGATATTTCCTAGTGCACTGAGGCCACCTCATCTTAGATGCCTGAGTCACTTAGTCGATAAAGTCTCTTCAGGCTCAGGGAGAATGGGTTTAGCCTCATGAAATCTCACAGTGGTGGTGATGGTGTACAGGGTCCCTTGTTTGGTTTCCAGGGTGTGTGTCTGCTTGCCTGCCTTCTTTCCTTCCTCCCTTCCTCCTTTCCTCCCTTCTTTCCTTCCTAACTTCTCTCTCTCTCTCTCTCCTCTCTCCCCTCTCTCTCCTCTCTCTCTCTCTCTCTGTGAATTATATTGACTTCAATTTCTGGTCCTTCTCTGCCCTCTGAGTGGCAGGAATTAGAGACCCATGTTCTCAAACCTGGCCTTAGGAAATACTTGGACCTTGGATTTCATGGTTCCTGGGAGGGTTGGGACAGCTTAGGTCAGCAGTTGGCCTTGTGGACGTTCTGAGCATCAGCGTGGCAGTGATGATCCCTGGTTGTGTGCTTACCCAAAAGATCTTACTGAGGATTTCCTCCTCTAAATCCCGAGCCCTGAGGCTCCTAGATTCTTTCTGGTGTCCTGACCCAGACAGGAAATGCTCTGTCACTGACTTAACCAGGCCACCAGCAGCACTGGAGTCTGTTTTCTTACATAACAGGCTTAAGTGAGGCTAAATCTTTGCTGTTTTTTGGAAGTTGTTGTTACTTCTGATTTGATTCTCAAAATACCTGCAGAGGGAATGCTACAACCCATGTTACAGGGGTGTGAACTCAGGTAGCAAGGAAAAGGCAGCATGGGATGGAGATTGTAGGTCATATACCCACAGCTATAAAACTAGGGCAGCAGATACCTCTGCTAGGGTTCATAGCAGGGCTAGGTGAGATGATGGAGGCACTGGTGGCGTGCCTAGCACTGAGCAAACGGGTCATGCATGCAGACAGCTTTCCTGTGAGAAGTTGAGTGCCGAGCCTGCCCTCTCAGTCTGCCCAGTCACTCTCTTCTAGTCTCTACACTTGCTGGCGCTTGCTTGTGGTTTGCTTCTGACTGCTTAAAGAGTTCTTTTTTTTTATGGTTGGACTTAGCGAAGCCTGCTGTGGATCCCGCTGCTGCCAAGCTCTGGACCCTCTCAGCCAATGACATGGAGGATGACAGCATGGTGAGTTGGCTCTCTAGTCACTTGACTGCACCCTCTCAGGCCTTGAATTCAGTGTGAACAGCTGTAGTGAGAAATGGCTTTAAATTTTTTGTTTTGTTTAATTTCATGTGTATGAGTCTCTGTCTGTCTGTCTGTCTATCTGGTGCCTTTGGAGCCCCGAAGAAATTGTTGGATCCCCTGGAATTGGGGTAGAATTACAGGTAGTTATCAGCAGCTGAGTGGGTACTAGAAACCAAACCCACATCCTCTGCAAGAGTAGCAAGTGCTTTTACCCACCCAGCCATGTCTCTAGCTTCCTGACTGTGGCCTTTTAGATGTGTAGGTGTGAAGGAGTTTAAGGCCCTGCATGTAGTGGTGCCTGACTTCGGTGTCTTTTATTAAGACATTCCATATTAGTAGCATTTTTTTTAAGTATCTTTAGATTTTCTTGTCTTCCCCTTACATGAAATAGTAGATTCTTATAGACATAAACTAGGAAAGAATTTGTCAACTGAGGTATTTTATTGGCCTCTGTCTAGGCAGCTGAATGCTTACTGAATGAAATGCGATGAAAGTCATTGAATGTTCAGTGTCTTAAACTCAGGGTTTGCCCCTTTCATCTGCCACATCTATAAGAAAACCTTTAATTGTAGCACTCAGGAGGCAGAGGCAGAGTCACATTCTCTCAGAATTTATAGGGATATCTGTCTTAACATTTACCAAAAAGGGTACACAAATATATGTATAATTATTTTATATGTATAATTATTTGCTTTTATTTCTGTAGAATTTTATGGAAAATGTTTTCTTTCCTTTGACTTCATTCCTGTGACTATTCATGTATTGAAATAAATACACCTCTGTTCATTTCACCTGCTCCTACCCTTACCTCACCATGAACACACACACACACACACACACACACACATTCTTACAGAGTACCAGCCAATTGTGCAACTATTTCTGACCTCATGCAGTCAGTCTCCCATGGACCAAAGCTCTCTTCAGCCTGTGGCAGAGTTCATAGCAGGTGTGGCTTTGCCCTTGCCCTTATGTGCTCTTGGCATGTGATTAGCTCAGCTTTTCATCAGAGACCACGGCTGTGGTGTTAATTGTTTTGATCACTCTCTAGGATCTCATTGACTCAGATGAACTGCTAGATCCAGAAGATTTGAAGAAGCCCGATCCAGCCTCCCTGAAGGCTCCTTCGTGTGGGGAAGGGAAAAAGAGGAAGGCCTGTAAGAACTGGTGAGTACTGAGGGAACAAGTCTGGGCTGAAGCTTCTTCTCCAGACTCATCTCTGTGCCTCAGTCTGTTGAGAATGGGTTATCCTGTGAGGTATATAGAGGGGTAAACCAAATAGGTAACCCTTAAAGAAAAGACCTGCACACCATGGTCTATAGTAAGAAATGGAAGCATCCTGGTTGGGTATCCCAGCACATGGGAGGCAGAAGCAGGCAGATCTCTCTGAGTTCAAAGTTAGCCTGGTCTACATAGAGTGTTCCAGGACAGGAGGGGCTCCACAGTGAGACCCCACCTCAAAAGAGCCAAAGAAAAAAGAAAGGAAATGAAAGAATCATAGTGGTCATAGTTCCGAGGTCAGAAGTCACTCTTTTGTATGGTTTCAGTGTTCAGAGCCAGCCCTACTATCTTCTGTTTTGGATGACTGTGATGATAAGGCTGAAGTCAGCTGGCTTTAACCCTTCTGTAAAGTCTTGACCACTTTCTCCATTTTGGAAAGAAATCCTTGGGGCCCTCATTCCTTGGTATCATATTGCAATAGTTTGTCTTGAGTAGGGTCATTTTCTTGTGCACTAACCACCCGGTGTATCTCTGCAGTCCTAAAAAACCAACTGTGTGGTCCTGGGAGTAGTGTTTTGTTTTGTCTAGTTTTTTTTTGTTTGTTTTTGTTTTTGTTTTGGTTTGGTTTTGTCTGAGGAACATGTGACTTAGATGCTGAACCTCTTTGGTCCTCTTTGTTTGTTTTTGAGGCGAGGTCTCACTGTGTAGCCCTGGCTAGCCTGCAACTTGCTTTGTAGATCAAGGTGACCTTGAACTCATTGAGATGTGCCTGCCTCTGCCTGCTCAGCGTTGACTTTAAAGGTGTGTGCAACCACATCTAGCTGGTCCTATAATTTTTTTTCTCCTTCTACATCTTCCAGTTTTTTCCCCTTTTGTTATTATTTTATTCCTCCTAGCATGATTGTAGTTTATAGTTTTCTCTTTGCTAGTGTGTTGTCATCGCCGCGCCCCCCCCCCCCCAGCACGCACACACACTCAGTATGTTGAACATCCTTTTTCATTTGGATATAAAGAAACTAACACCCTTCCCAGGCTTTCTGAGACAGGTCTCGCTATCCCTGGCTGGCCTGGAACTCACAGTGTAGACCAGACTGGTCCCTGAACCCACTGAGCTCCTTCGGCTTCTGACTCTCCAGTGCTGGGGTTAAAGATGTGTGTCACCATGTCCTACTCTGTTTTTTGTGTTGCTGGATTCTTTGTTTTGTTTTTTCTTTGTTTTTTTATTCATTTTATTTTATTTTTGGTTTTTCAAAATAGGGTTTCACTGTGTAGCCTTGACTGGCCTAGAACTAGCTCTGTAGACTGGTCTTGAACTCAGAGATTAACTTGCCTCTGACTCCCAAGTACTGGGATTAAAGGCATGCACCACCACCAACCCACTATTTTTTTTTTTTTAATTATGTGTATACACTGGTACCTATGAAGCCCAAATTCAAGCCCTCTGCAAGAGCAGTATCCACAGCTGATCCATCTCTTCAGCCCTTTCTATCCTTATTCTCTTTCTTCCAAGTTGCCTTTTAGGTGGCCTCTGACTCCTTGGTTAGAGGACTTCTTAGGATCCTTGGTGGTAATGGTCTTCATAATTTAAAAGTGGAGGACAGTCAGGTGTGATGGTGCATACTTAAGTCCCAGCATGCAGGTGATTGAGGCAGGGTTGTAAGTTCATAGCTAGTTTGGACTATATAGCAAGACTGACTTTAAAAACTTCTTAAAATAAGTTGAAAACAAGCTGTTTATGTTAACTGAGCATCTGGGTGAATTGATCTGTTCACTTTTATTGAAGGGAACCTAGGTAGCTGTTGGGGGTGGGGAGGCTCCAAATCCCAGAGCCTGTGTACTCAGATTGGCTGGGTTGCTCAGGGGAAGTCTTCCCTTTGGAACCTTAAGGTTTCAGGGTGTAGCAGGAGTGCTAGTTTATCTGTTACTGATTCTCCAAAAGTGTATTATTGTTTCTGGTGGGGGTTTGAGAGAGGTGAGATTTCACCCGTGTCAGTCTGTCCTAGCGTGGAAGCCTTGCATTGGTGTTTTACTAGTGTCAGGCAGGCTTGGCTTATTTATTCTCCACTGACTGATTTTACTATATTTATTTTTGTTTTGGTTTTTGAGACAGTCTCACAATTATTTCAGGCTGACCTTGAATTTGGAGTTGCTCTTTACCTCCCCAGTGCTGGGATTTCAGGGCAGCCCTCCTCAGGCTTTAGGTGTTCCAATTTCCAGCATTTACAAATGAGAGGACTTCCAAGTAACAAGCCAGATTTTTTTTCTGTTTATTATTTTTATTTTTGTGTGTGCCTGGTGTTGAGGATTAAGCCCAGGGCCCTGCACGTGCTAGGCAAGTGCTCTAGCACTGAGCTTGCATCCCAATCCTCCTGTTCTTGAATTTGGAAACTATGGTGACTCTGCTATCTTCCTCAGCCTCACCCCCAGCCTGCTGGTTCCACAGCATTGATTTGATGCTTGGTAAAGAGAAACGTTTTCAAATATGTATTAGCATTGTTAGAGATTTGAAGTTTTGGGTGGTGGCAAGTCTGATTCACCAGCCGTTGGTTTCCCTCAGCACCTGTGGCCTTGCAGAAGAACTTGAAAGAGAGAAGTCAAAGGAGCAGGGCACTCAGCCCAAGTCTGCCTGTGGAAATGTACGTACCTGCACCACATCACCACACCACATGCACCCACTCCTGGTGACATTGGGACATAAGCTAGCTGAACCTAAGGGATTGGTCATCAGGTTTTCTTATAGTAGGCCAGTGTGAAAGGCTGTGATGAGAAGAGGTTATCCTGAGAGGGGGTGAGGGGTACCTATCTTTAATTTGTTAACCCTTTTGTCTCTTGTGTGGGATGTGGTTTACTCGGCTATTGAGCTGACATTGCTGTGATCCTATAGTAGAGGCTGCCTGAGCTACCAGCCTTCTGGCCTCCTTCTGACGGGGCTTGCTTTGTAGCTCATGTAGGCTGTAAACTTGCCTCAGCCTCCCAAGCACAGCAGTTTTGACGAGTTGTGTTGCTTCACCTGGCTGGAAGCCTTACTGACTGACTTCATAAAACAAGAACTGTGGGCATGCTAAGATGTTCTTTTCTTTGGCCTTTAGCCTCTCTGTGTGACTCCTGATCTCTCCACAGTGCTACCTGGGGGACGCTTTCCGCTGCGCTAACTGTCCCTACCTTGGGATGCCAGCCTTCAAGCCTGGAGAACAGGTGCTCCTGAGCAATAGCAATCTCCAGGATGCCTAGGAAGAACCTCAAGCACACACACCTGCTCCTCCAGCCAACTCCTGTCCCTCAGCCCACCACTGCCTCCTCCCACCTCTGATTCAGTCACTCCACAAGCATGGATTCATAGGGAGAAGACTGTCCAGAGTGAAGCTGCTGTGGTGCAGTGGTGTGTGGTGCTGCTGTGTCCTGAAAGACCAAGGTGTGAGGGACCTGCCTCTTAATAGTGTTAGGAGAAGGGCTGTACCTAAGGGACTCCCCTCCTGATGTGCAGTGCTGACAGTCCACACCCTTGAGTCTGAACCCTTGAATATTTATGCTGTATAAGCTCCAGGCTTGCTCAGTGACGCTGCCACCTAACTGATTGGTCTTACTCGGTATGTAATTCTTGGAGCCATGGGTCAACTGTCAAAGGGCCTCAGGGGCACCAAAGAAGTCACTCCCCAGTTGCTGTGATCCGTCTTGTGTCCCTCTGCCCCTCCCACCTCACCCCATTTTGTTGTGGTGTTGTATCTGTGTCCTGTTGTCATTTCTGTTAAACAATAGATATTAAACTTTCGTGTTTCTATGTATCCTTCATAATGTGTAATGTGTGTATATGTGTGGGAGTCTGTCACAGTCATCCACATTCAACTTGGACTATGAAACTTGTTTTTGAAGAAGCCCATGTCACTGATGTCACACAGGAATGGGGCCAGACCTGGCCTTACAGATTAGGACGTGTCTCCATCTCCTGTGGGAGAGTCCAGGTTGAGAGTTGGGGGGGGAGGGCAAGGCAGGCTGGCCCAGTAGCAGTAAGTGTCAGTACAGGGGATCCTTCATTCTCCCTGCTGCCTGTCCACGAGCCTATAATCCATCGTGCCTGATCTTTTGTTTCCAATGAAAGTATCCACTATTACCTGTCCTTGAAACTTGGTTCTCCTGGCTTGCTTCTGCTTGTCCCTGCTGCTGAAGTTTAGCTGTGGGTGTAGTGAAAAACACCTTTGAGAAGCAGAATTCCCATTGGCCCCAGTGACCCTCAACTTTTTATCACCTCCCCTCCAATTACAGCAAGACCTGAATGACATTGGGGTTTCTCTTCTGGGTCTGAGTGGAGAAGCTCCAACAAAGGGAAAGGATTTGCAGATGGACTCATAGTTCCTGCTGGACTTAACAGTTAATTACAAGGGAGATTATCCTGAGTGAGCATGGCCCACTCTGTTGATCCTTTAAAAGACCTAGAAAAAAAGCATTTGTCTTGCTGCCCATGCAGAAAGAAGTTAGTTGTGGAGGTTTTGTTTGTTTGCTTTTATTTTATTTATATAAATTGGCACAAGTGTTTCAGATCCCCAGGAACTGGAGTTATAGACAGCTGTGAGCTGCCATATGGGTGCTGGGAATTGAACCCAGATAGTCTGCTAAAACATCTCTTAAGCCCCCAGCTGTGAAGTTTTGAGAAGTATACAGTGTAGCATGAAAAATAAAAGACCCAGAGACTGATATTGGGATTCAAGCTTTAAGCTGAAGATCAGAAAAGCAAAGCAGCCAGTCACTAGCTCTTCTACCTCAGAATGAAAGGCAATCCTGGCTCTACCAAACCTCAGACTGTCCTCATTGTGGCTGGAGAAGCCCAAGACTTCAATGTCTTGCTATCCTCAATGTGGCTGGGGAATGAATGCTTGATACTGACTACTGAAGACCCTGCTCCTATCTTTTATACCCCTCTAGAGCTGAGATTAAAGACATATAATCCCAAGTGCTGAGATCATCTTTGTGTGAGCTGTTTCTCTTTAAGACTGGATCAATCTTGTGCAGATCTGGGTGGCCTTGGACTCACAGAGATTCATATTCCTCTTAATTCTGAGTCCTAGGATTAAAGGTATATACCATCACCACCTAGCATCTGGCTGCTGAGATTAAAGGAATGTATCACCACTGCCTGACTTCTATAGCTTGAGGTTGACTTTGCTTTCTGAGTTCTTAGGCAGGCTTTAATAAATCATAAATAATATATCACCACAATACAGTATGCCCCAAATGCACAGCCACCAAGAAAGTGGGGGCTGCAGCCCCACAACTACAAGGAGCTGGGTTCTGCCAGCACTGACATCTTGAAAGAGGATTTCGGGTTCCAAATGAGAACACAGTCTGTGCCTGAGCTAATAGCTGGTATCTGTGGGTAGGGCACTTGCCTATGCACAAGGCCTTGTTTTTGATTCCCAGTACCAAAACCAAAAAAGGTTTTCTCAGGCCAGAGCAAATGACTGAGAAGCCAAGATAATAAATGGGTATGTAGCTGACTGCTTTGTCACACAGCAACAAAAACTAATAGCTCCCAGATGAGTTTAGGTTTAGCTTTGACCAGTTGGCCCAGCCACAGACCAGTTGATTGCTTGTGCAGTTGCCAAGGTGAGGGACAAACATTTTGGCCTCTGGGTTGAGGAGCTGCCAGAGCTTCCTTGTGGGTTTAGTAAATGCCACAAGCCTTCCAGACCTGCTTGTTGATTTCCAGCTATGGCTGGCACAAAGGAGGATGGTGCAGTTGACATGATTAAGGGGGCCCTGGTGGCAGTCGCTCCACCTTTCCAGAGTCACGGCAGCCAGCTCATCAGCTTAGTTGGGGTCCTGGGATGTGGAGAGAGCACTTGACCAGAGCATAGCTGTCCACTAAGGAAGGGTGGTCCTATTTCTCTGAGCACAGTCTTGACTCTGATGCCAGGCTAAGAGGAAGTTTTAGTTGTTTGTAAGCTTATAGTATAGAATCCAGGAACAGTGTCAGTTGTCACTCAATTCAGCCGAAGTTTACATGAAGGCAGGTGTGGCCTGGGAGCCTTTGTAATGACTTCTTTGTGTTTATGTGTGAGGGCATGCAAATCACAGTACACACGTAGGGGTCATGGGCTGGTTCTTCTTCTACCATGTGGGTCCCAGGAATCAAATTCAAGTCATCATGCTTAGCAGTCATTACCTTTACCCACTGAGCCATCTCACTGGCTTTTTTTTTTTTTTTTTTTTTTTTCCAAGACTGGGTTGCATGTAGGCCAAGCTGTCCTCTATCTTTCTCCCTCCTCCTCTTTTCCCCCTGTCTGAAACAAGATCTGGCTACCCTAGCCTGAATTTCACTGTGTAGCCCAAACTCACAGTGATCCTCAGTCTCCCAAATATTGGCATTGCAAGAATGTGCCATCATTGCCAAACCTGGCTTTATTTTATTTTATGTGTATGTCTGTGCACCATGTTAGTGCAGTACTCATGGAAGCCAGAAGAGGGTGTCAGATCCCTGGGACTGGAGTCACAGGTATGAGCCATGGTGCTGGTGCTATGAATCAAACCCAGGTCCTCTGCAAAAGCAGCTAAGTTCTTAACAACTGAGGATCTCTAAGGTCTTTGCCTTGGAATGTGGTTGTGTGGCATCAAGTCTCCCCCTGTTCTGAAATCACTCACATGGTATAGGCAGCAGAGGCAAGCCACATCTTCCCTGGGCTTTGGTGACAGCTGGGACTTAAGGAGCTAAAGGGTGCTTGGAGATGAAGTGTGAAGCAGGAGGCAGGCTGTAAAGGTAAAGGTGTTCGAACAAGGTATCTACAGGGAAGCCAGCCATTGCTTGAAGCACCTGGCTGATAGTCCTCCGAAGAAGGAAGCAATGTTGCTTCACCAAGTATGTGCCGATGAGTTGGGGGAAAGCTAAGCAGCTAAGGGTGGGGATGTGGCCAGGTGGAACACAGCAGGATTAGTTTAAACAGCTCAACACTGGGCAGCTCCCCAAAGTAAAATGCAACGTCCTGTGCCTGAGTTTTGTTTACAAAGTCCAGTTAAATCAGAGTCTTCGAGTAGGCCTGGGGCAGCAGTGCTTTGCCAGGCTTTGCCGATGATTCTAAAGTGTATTCTGTGCTAGAGAAAAATTTTCCGCACAGCAGAAAACATGCTAAAAAAAAGGCCCTCGCGTTGCAGTGCTCACCTGTAATCCCATCAGTCAGGAAGCTGAGGCACAAAGATGGAAAGTTTGAAGCTAGCCAAGGCAAAAGTTAGATCAGGCTAGGTTCCATGATAAGACTATGGCAAAAAACAAGCCCTGTGCCAGTGGTGGCACACGCCTTTAATCCCAGCACACAGGAGGCAGACAGATGGATCTCTGTGAGTTCAAGGCCAGCCTGGTCTACGAAATGAGTTCCAAGATATCCAGGATTACACAGAGAAACGGTGTCTCCAAAAAAAAAAAAACAACCAGCCAAACAACCGACCAAACAAACAAAACCCCAAATCCCAAGCAACTATATTTGAAGAGCAAAGACCTAGGATGGATTCAGGTAGCCATTAAGAGAATGAAGGAACAAGTTATGGGGCTACATCATGGGACTTACAGCAGTAGTGGTGAGCTATGACTGAAGAACTACAGTGCTGTGTGTGTGTGTGTGTGTGTGTGTGTGTGTGTGTGTGTGTGCATACATGGGAGAGAGGGGTGGGGTGAAAGGAAAATTTTAAATATCTAAAGGACACACACATATACATGTAACTTGAGTGCACGTGACAAAGAAATTCCAGAAAGCTGATGAACTCAAGACCAGGGCATAATCTGGAGTGAAGATGAAATGGGAAGTAGGCTTCCAGGGCAGCAGGAAATGTGGTTGGTTGGAGACTGGGTCTTATAGGATAGCCTAGGCTGGCCTAGAACTCACCTTGTAGCCCGGGCTAACCTCAAAAGATAGTCCTCCTGCCTCAGCCTCCTGAGTGTTAGGCACGAGGCACTAGCAAGGTTGTTTATTTTTGCAGTGGTGGGATTCAACCAAAGGCCTCTCACACATGCTCAGAACGCTTAATCCCTGAGCTACCGATCCAGCCATGGATGCTTCTCTCTCTGGAGCTGGATGAGGAATTTTTTTTTTTTTTTTTTTTTACTGAGTTATATATGTTTTGTATTTTGGGATATGTCATTTATAAAACTAAGGAAATGTAAGGGCTGGGCCTTAATAAAAGTTCCAGTAGGCCTGAGCAAAGTCCTGAATCTCCTGTCACAGACCTTCAGGAACTGTTCCATATATGGAACAACAGCAGATACAGAGTCCACATAACCTGTAAACCCTAGAAGGCAGGAAGCAAAAGCAGGAGGCAGAGGAGTCATGGCCAGTCTGGGCTACATAGCAAGATTCTCTCTGAAAAATGAAAGTTTAGAAAAGAGGGAGGTAGCACGTGATAGCAATAATACAAAGAATGTCACCACAGAGCACATGAATACGGACAAAAACCTTACTTTTTTTCCCTCTTACTTGTGTGTTGAGTGCAGGTGTTTGTCATAATTTGTGTGAGGAGGTCAGAGGAAACCTTGGAGTTGGTTCTTGCCTTTAACAGGTGGGTTCCAAGATCAAACCTAGGGAGCTGGCAGGCTTGGTGGCAAGTCCATTTACCTGCTATGCCATCTCACTGACCCTGGGCAATATTTCTGCTAAAAATTACACAAATATATAACATGCAATGGCATAAGAGCACTGCAGGGATGTAAAAGGCATGGGATGACACGATGGGAATGCTTACTGGCAAAGCTCACCGAGGACAAACAATTCTGGGTGTTGGGAATGTCACAAGGAAGAAGGGAGGA